GATCCATGGGCCTGATAGGCTCTCTTAAATTTATACTTTGTGGCCTTGAGCACTGGCCTGAAAAGAATGTTCTCTCTCCTCCAACCGCACACACACACACACACACACACCAACACACGCACACGCTCCGACACACACAGGCGATTAGCATCAGCAGTGTAAATGCAGGAAAGTGAGTCTGCCCTTAATAACATCTCATTGATAGAATTTAAATTGGATGTTAAATAACCATTACCGCGGCTGATTGCCTGGCCAGCCCTGGAAAGTGAGGAGGCTTTCTTCCGGTGCCTCTCTCTCCCAGATATGTGAAATTGGGGTGAGATTGAATTAAAGCATGGACAATTAGAGTGGATCTGGCAGCATCTTTACATAAGAGCGGGAGTGGGACCGCTCCTATGTGTGCGGGTAGGTGGGTGTGTGGCAGTGTGCCTTTTAGTGTTGACGAAAGTGAGAAGGTTTGTGTTATTAGAATGTTGTGAGAGGAGGTGAAGGAGAAATGTGTCTTTTCCTCTGTCGCCTCCTCACCCTTTTACAGTGCCTTAGCTTATCTGTGACCTGTCCCTGCCACTAAGGCCTCCCATGAAATAGAGCCTTTAGTTCAGTGATTTTTTTTTTCCTCCATTTATTTGACTGTGAAGGCAGCGAAGCGGTTATAGAACCTTCTCTGCATTGCGGCCATATGAAAGGTAGCAAGGGACGGAAAAAGAAAAAGAAAAAAAGCCTGTATATAATACTGTATAGCTGTCAGGCACCTGTCAATGCAGAGATATGCGCTCACTCCTCTCCACCACCCAGTGCCACAAAAGGCCGCAAAATAAACAAATAAAGGGAATAAAGGAATAAATAAAAGAGCTGTCACTTTGCCCAGCCCTCGCATCATCAAACATAATGTGGCTGACAGCGGGGCCACCGAGGCGACAACGGCCCCCGGCGCCATCCTTTTCAATTAGGAAACTGAAATAACATCATCCAGCTTGAAGCAGATATAAGAAAAGGGCTCAAAAACAACAGCGCTTGAGTGTCTTTGTTTTTTTTTTCCCTCACATTCTCTCTTTCTCTCCAACTTTCTCTGACTTACTCACTCTAGGTCCTCTTCTTTTCTCTCTAATTTGAAGAAACTAGCCTTTTCCCTTGCTCTCTCTCTTTTGCTCTCTCTGTGTCCCTGTCTTTCTTTCCCTTACGTACTCTGGGCCAAATGTACTAAGCTTTCTGTAGCAGAATACTTTGAAAAAGTATTGAAGGCTGAATACTGAATACACTGTCCTGAATGCATTAGTAATGTGTTCCATTACAATGCATAAAAAATTAACATATTCAGAATACATTTCAAATACATTCAGAATACATATTGATAAGGCGCATGGGAAAACTCTGCCGTTGTATTTTTTATTTAATTCACACTGTTGCTTCTTGTCACCGGGGGCAGTTTTTATGTAATTTTTTGATTAATGCATTTCATTAAAAAATTACTTATTTAAAATTCTCAACATTATTTTGGCTCTCATGACTACTTTGGTTCACTGCTGCTTCCATAATCCCACTGCCTTCACATGAACTAGGCAAACAATTTGTCATATACCAGTAACAAAATCTTGCAAAATAAAGTGGGTAGCTATGTGATTTACATTTAATAACGTGTGTGACTTGTGTGGCCAGTACAGTGTCAATGCTAAGCTTATTACTAATTTAAGTTTTATCATCTCTCCAAAAAAGTTTAGCAATGCTGAGATTAATAACTGATCTTCACTTTGGTTCTCCTAACACATTAAAAAGTCATTCTGAATACTGCCTTTACAAAATGTATTTTTGGACTGAATACAGATGCTTAATCCCTGTATTCAGAATATGTATTCTCAATACTTGTATTCCAATACACCCCAACCCTGTCTGTACATAACTGCTGCATAAGCCTAAAGACACAGTTTATGGGCCATGTGCATGGAAAACTACAAAATGCACCTTTCTACTTCATGCGTATATATTTGAGGGAGGATTCTGCAAAATGTGGGAGAATCATACTAAAAACACTTATTCCAAGTGCAGCTGATTACATGTTCTACACCA